ACATACACTTTAATATTAAATAATTTTAACGTGGAGCATTTATTACTATTTTTTTTTATTTTTTTTTGCTGTATTACCACATCGCCAGTGGACAAACAATGAAACAATTCAGCTCTGCGCACAAATTTTGTCTGTAGTCTGCGCTTGCCGGCTGACTGCGAAGGGATAGACACACTGGCACTTAAGCACTACGAAACTCATTCATCCATTCATACATAAATATGTATTGTATATACCAACCAACACAACTTTGGAATTATAAATTTGTGTGCAATCTACGTACGTACATATGGATGGATAGTTACGGTGACCAGATTTCGGTGGAGCAAAATCGGGACACTTCTAAAGCATCGAAAAAGACATAACATCTTTTAATAAACATAGTTTTATTTAAGATAAAACAAAGAGAAAAAAACTTGGAAAGTGATCTCAAAAATTTATACACACAATATATACAATATATACTTTTATATGTTTAAAAAATGTGTATGACCTTTTTATTCAAATATGGCTTACTAATATCTAAAAAAAAACCAGTAAATCAAGATTTCGAACTTTGAGAACATTTACAAAAATTCGAAAGTTTCTAAGAAATATTATTAAAAAGCTCAAAATTTTAATAAAACTTTGTCGAATTTCGCTAATTTTTGTACAAATAAATAAAATAAAAATTATAAACATTAAATAATCAAACGAGCAATAGCCAAGGAATGCTTAAATGTCTCTTCCTTATTTATAATATCGTCACTATGTCTACAGCTTACATTTTTCTATAATTTCACTAAATTCAAGTTAGAATTGTTTCATTAACAAAAAAAAACTTTTCAAAATATTATAAAACCCTTAAAAAATTTGTTGACAAGAATTATGACAGCAATAGTGACAGCGAGCGTGTCAGTTTGACAGAATAAAACATAACCAAAGTTCATAGAAAATAAGGATGCTGGCTGTGTTTGTGGCTCCCCTATATTCTATGTTCTTTGTGATAACGTAAGTGCTGCCACGTTTGTATGAAAAATTGTTTTTGGGCCAGTCTTCCTGTAGACTCTTGTTAAATTAATAAATAAAACACTGCAAATCGGTACTTAATCGGAACAAATATGAAAAAATATTCAGCGGGACAATTTTCTCGACTTCGGTGCTCTTCCGCCAAAATCGGTACGAATGGTCACCGTATGGATACTCATTTAGCAGCAGACGGTAAGCATTTATGTACGCATGTGTGTAGGTATTGTGCGTACGCATACATACAAAATTGTTCAAATGTTTACTGCTTTCGACTATGCTTTTTCCCCCGACCCTTTCGAGGGTAGATTTATATGTCAAGTTGCGAATATGCTTTACGCGTGTAGCGTAAATTAAGTTTCTGTAGGCCTACATATATCGTATGTACGTGCAGTACATTAGATCGAACCACCATAGGTACAAGAAAACCAACAAATATTCGCCGTGCATCCCTGAGCGTCAAATATTTTTGCCAGGCAATTTTGAAAAAAAAATTATTTTTTTGGCCGAACCTTGGAATAACCTTTTTAAGTTTTTCGTTGACCCCTGTACTTCTTAAACAGAAATATACTGATTTTTAGTGAACTGTGAAGCAAAAAAAAAATTACTCCTCGAGACAAGCACATCGACATATTATATCTTAAATCCAACTGTAAATGCCGAAGATATGATACAAAATTTGGAAAGACAACCCCTACGATCGGCTTAAAAAAAAAATGTTTTGAAATTGTCTCCTCAAGGTAAAAACCTCGACCCACTTTAAGATCCCATTATAAATGCCAAAGATATGACGAAAAAAGTAAATAGGGGGCGTGGACCAAAAAAAAACTAAACTTTTAGATCCGACTATAAATGACAAAGATGTGACCTAAAATGAAAATAGGGGGCGTGGGCGACAATGAATGAATGAACTTCGGAAAAACAAATTCTCGCCTCTATGACAAAAATTTAAAAAATATACCCTACGCACAGTGCCGCCTAAGTGGGCAAAAATCGAAAAATTCGTTATCAAAAATTAATTCTTTTAACTAAAATGTTGATTTGACGTTTTTTATTTCTATATAGATGGTAGAGAACTACAGGAATAAAAATTTAGGAATAAAATTAAACACAGGGCGTTCCTGCAGTATTCCAAAAAAAAACCTTTTTTTTCAAAAAATGCTCAACTTTAATGAAATGAGTAATAAATATATATAAAAATGGGTTAATTCTTATTATTTTATTAAATATAATGGGTTTTAACTTTCGAAAGAAGAAATAAAAACCTGCTTATTTTTTGCAGTTTCTGAAGTAATGCGTTTTTGGCTAATGCATAAAATAATTTTTCATTTTTTGTCAGTGCCATTAGAACTGCACGATTCGTTCTATTTTCAAAAATGAAGTGTCAGATTAAAAAGCTTGACTTGTGGACAATAGAAGGTTTATTCTTTTTTAAAGAGTTGCCACCTATTAAGAAATTAGATTGTTAAAAAATTAGATTCAAATATTTTTTATTAGTAAAATGAATTATTATGAGATGGATATCAATCGAAATGTGTATTAACTACACATAGAGGGTTGCCACCCGTTTAAAAAATCAAATTCCATTTGTATTAAAGGAATTAGGTAATTGAAATAGATAGGTGTCACCATAAGGTAGCCAGGCGAAAGAGGTTTAAAAAGGTTTTAGCTTGAAAATATTACGAATAGGATTGCCACCTGTTTGTAAATTCGAATTTAGTTAAACTAAAATAATAATTACGGCAATACATAAGTTAACGACATTGTTTTTGTTATTTCACTTCACTTATTTCTTGCTAATTATGTCAAATTTTTTCCTTTGTCTGATACTCATATTGATATATTTATTTCAGTTACCTTATTCCCTTAATAAAAGTGAATTTGATTTTTTAAACATGTGGTAATCCTTCTACGTATCATTTAGAGATAAAGCATTTTCAAAACTAGTTCAATTGATACCCATATTGTAAAATCTATTTCATTTAACTTTTTAAATAGTTTTAATAAAATTTTTAACAGGTGGCAGCTCGTTTCAAAAATAAAAAACTGTATTGCATATCTGCAGGAAAGTTATACAAAAACACATTGCATTTTTGAATTTGGCGTACTCAATTTTACTAAGGAGCGAATTTTCATTTAAATCCGT